GTTAAGCCGTCTGGTCCGGTCGGTCGGACACCACCGGTCGCATGCTACTTTTCCGGCCGGACAGAAAAAAAATACCTCTGAACTGCTAGACATTGTGCGAATGAGAAGGGCAAAATCGTCCAAGGAGGGCGGTGACTAGTAATAAGGGGAGCGGTAAATAGTAACACCCAAAGGTAAAGGAAATTGTAAGGGGTGGGCCCACTTTTGTGAGGTTTATGTGAGGTTTACATATCTAAACCTGGTTCACATTTGTAAACCTCAAACTCCACCACTTTAACAATAAAACCTTCAAAAGTGAGGTTTATAAACCTCATTACACCTCATTGATAAAGATGCTCTAAGGATGAGGTTTTAGATGATGTGACGTGTTGGAAAGTGTAAAAGTGAGGTTTATGGAGGTTTATAAAGTTGTATGGCTAAAGATGCTCTAATATTAATTAAAAATAAGTGTGAAACATGTGAGACTCATATAAAAAGAAGTTGGGCATCTTTATCAAAATGTTTAAAAGGAGGTTTACAAATACAGCACTAAGATTTATCTATTATTTGTCACGCGCCAATAAAAGAATGAGGCCTTACTGATCCCATGGACCCACATGGCATGTTGCCAATTCTTAGTCATTTATCTAATTTTTCATTTCCTTTCCTCATCATTATTATTCTAAAATGCTTTCTATGCCACCATAGTTTTTGCTAAAATGCTCCCAGCCACTTTATTTTTTTTACCCATACATTTTATTCTATAAAAAGTTAAAAATTGGTTTTGTTTTTGAAATCAGTGAAACACACACAAAAATTGATGTTCTTATGTTTTTGCAACACTATTAATATTTTTCATACACTTACATTATTCGAGAAAGCCTTTTTTTTATTAATAAAATAACAAATAAAGTTATATATGGGCCAATTAAAATTGTGGAATGATAATAATTAATATACAAATTTCATAGTAAAATAAAAGAAGTTTTGAATTGTTAATTAATAGTAAAGAATAAAAGAAGTGTTGAAAAGCTAATTGATAATTGTGGACAAGTTGGCCTTGTGAGTGACGTTTAAAAACAAAAAATTTGGCGAAATTATATGATAACCTGGAGATATTAAACTTATTTCATTTCTATCATGTGGGTGTTTTTATTTACATCTATGCCTAAAAAGAAGGATTTATATGGGTTGAGTAAAAAAAATCACTTACCAAATTAAAACGTTTCCTACAATCACGCCAATTACAACAATCTTATATCTAAAAAAATAGATTTATTTGGGTTGAGTAAAAACATATCAGTTACCAAATTAAAATGTTCCTACAATCACGCCCATTACAAAAATCTTTTCTCATAATTACAAAAGATATAATATACATAATATACACAATTACAAATACACGATCAGACTAATATACAGAAGATATACTCGTTATATACAAACTACATAAATAAAAATACGCAAGATAGAACAAGTTTGTTATTATATACAAATTATATACAGAAGATATCCAGAAAATACAAAAAATTTTACATTTGCTTAACATAATATACACGATTACAGAATATTCCCACAATATACATAATATACAAGTAAAATTTTTGCATTTGCTTAAACATTTGTTGAATATACACCAGAAACAAATAAGCATATCAATTAATGAATATACACAATTGCTCCAATCAAGAAATATATACATATCATAAACTATTAACATACCCAATACAGATATTGGTTAATGAACATACGCAGTTGCACCAAAAAAATCCCACAACAAAAAAACATGACACATATACATTACATATACTAAACATATACAACCTAATGTTATTGATATAATAACAGCTTCGAAACTATTTAATACAAAATGAATTATATACATACAATATACTTAACATATACAAATTAAATTATTTACATTTGATGTTTGAAATTCGTCCTCAAATTCGGCAGAGACCTATTTTTTACGGTTGGAAAAATCCTGGGCAACTGCTTCGGTTTCTCGCTTCTTTCACGGTTCAAGGCTTGTTGGAGAAAATCCTGGGCAACCTGATTCTTTCCGACTTCTTGGAGGGGGAACATGCTTCGATTTCTCACTTCCTTCATGGTTGAAGGCTTCACACCAGACTTCGGCTTTGGCGGCCTCGTCATAATCTCGACCGAGAAATCGCGACTGGGAGAAGGCGATGGAGTCCACAATCGAAAATCTCCCCAACTGCCGAAAATTATCGCTCGAGAGTTTAATATCCCTGTCTGGAGATAAAAGACCAGGCTTCGGGGAGGAAAAAAGAAAAAAAAAAAGACGTACGAAATTTGGAGAAAAAAGAGAGAGAGGGAGGAAAATTGATGAGGGATTGATTGAACAAAGAATATATGGAGCGAAAAAAGATGTGAAGAAGAAAAAGAAAAAGATGACAGAGAAGAAGATATAGAATGAAAAAAATGTGAAGAAGAAAAAGAAAAAGATGTGAACAGATAAGGATTGTGTTACTTTCTTATCTTTTAGTCAATTATCGTAGTTTTGCAAATAAAATATATAGATTTGGTCAATTTGCTAATATTTATAAGGAGACATTATTTATGTAATAAAAAATAGTATATATAGTACATGGTGCAATTTCCTCAAAAAATTTGGGGGTGCAAAAACAAATTTAAAGAAAGACAAATTAAATCTTTTAACATTTCATGTGGAGAAGTTTGTAGGCTTAATGTAGCTGCTAGGACGAAGCCGAGCCCATACGATAGACCAAAAAGGATGGAAGCATTATCCCACTACTCTACCAGCAGCCTTCATAAGTAAGACCCCACTCTTTCAAATTCAAAGAATAAGAGCATCTCTAATGGGCTTTCAATTGTAGAAATGTGGAAGAATTTCAATTAAAAAAGGTCTCAAACCCTCAATGTCTAGATGCTAATCATAATTACGTGGCTGGAGAGAGAAGGAAAAAAATCTAGCACTCTTTCTATATTTAAAATTCTTTCTGGACGCGCTGAGTCAGATTATTCCTCCCACTAACTTCTTTTTTTAATTAAAAACAACAAATTTGTTGAGAAAAAAATTGTTAGTTTTTCTTTTTTTAATATAGAAATATATAGATGGCGTGAAGATAGATATAACCACTGGAGAAATTTTTGTGGCATTGAACTCCTACTTATTCCACATGGATGGAAGACCTCTATTTAATTGCCACATACCCTCCAATTCACATTCATGGTTGGAGATGCACTAAAGAGGTGGAGATTCGCTACATGCTACATTAGGGAAAAAAAAAGGAGCTTTGAAAGAGCTCAGCTTATGAAAGAGCTTAACCTTTAAGTTAATTAATGTTGTAGTAGGAGAGTCGATATAATTGAGCTCGACAAAAGGAAAGGGAGAGGTAATTGAGCTCGACCAAATGGAGAGGGACGAGGTACGAGGGCTGGACTGAAAGGAGAGGGAAGAAAAGAAGGAGCTTTGTTTAATAGTAAGTTAGTCGATCAAGGCGAAATGAGAGGACTAGGGGTGAGCAAAACCGAGCCGAAATCGAAAAATCGAGCCGAACCGTGCAATTCGGTGCGGTTCGGTTCGGTTCAGTTTTTTAATGTAAAGAATTTTCGGTTCGGTTTTTTCCTAAATTGCGGTGCAGTGCATTATAATTTTTCCTAAGTTCGGTTTTCAGTTTTGTTACGAAATTGCATAAAATGTATAGAAAAATTGTTATAAAACCAAAAGCCGAACCGTGCGTTTCGGTGATGTTCGGTTTGGTTCGGT